TTTTTTCTTTTTTTTTGAGATGGAGTCTCGCTCTGTTGCCGGGCTGGAGCGCAATGGTGTAATATTGGCTCACTGCAAACTCTGCCTCCCGGATTCAAGCGATTCTCCTGCCTCAGCCTCCCAAGTAGCTGGGATTACAGGTGTGCGCCACCACACCCAGCTAATATTTGTACTTTTAGTAGAGACGGGTTTCAATATGTTGACAAGGATGGTCTCAATCCGTTGACCTTGTGATCCACCTGCTTATTTCTCCCAAAGTGTTGGGATTACAGGTGTGAGCCACCACACCCGGCCCCTACTCCTCAATTTTGTAGGAGAGGAAAGCAGGCCCCAGGGAGATGCAGGTACTCTCTGATCTCAGGATCTGGCCTAGGCAAAAAGGTCAGGAGAGGTAGAGGTGCTAGGTCACAATGGGAGCCTGGGGCTCGCTCTCTGCAGAGCAGGCAGGCACTGCCAGGGACTTCTGTCCTCAAGTGTGGGGCCTGCCTCCTCGGGTGTGGCATCCTGAGACTAAGGTCTGGGAAGCAGTCATGAGTTGGCATCACATAGGCACAAAAAATGATACCTAAAAGACCAGTCCAAAAGTGAGGAGTCATGCAATATACCCAGGGCCTATAATTTACAGCTTTTCAGATTCTTACAAGCCATCTGAGAGGTAGATTTTATGACTGCATTTTATAGATAAGGAAGATGAAGCTCATGGAGTTATAAAATTCACCTAAGATCACACAGCTAGGGAGTGGGGATTCAGACTCAGGGTCCACTCACCTCAGTGCCTTTCTGCTTCATCCTGTGTCATGCTGCCTCGCTTTCTGCTGCCAGAGGTCAGGCTTGGTTATGGCAATGATAAAGCTGGGCCATTGAAAGACATGAAATTGGCCTCAGTGGCAGGAGAAGAGATGTGCAAAGCTTAGAATGAAGCAGGACTGATAAGTCAATCAAGGTCAGAGAGTAAGAGGAGTTGGCCCAGAAGGAATCAGGCCCCTGGGTTTTGATTCTCAACTCTCTTATACCATGATGTGAACCACTTCCAGAACACTGAGCTCCTGAATGGCTGCAGGGCTGTGCTGCCGGAGAAAGCTCACATTTGGAGTGCTATGGGAGGGGTCAGGGAAAGAACGGAGAGAGGCTTGGTGGGGCCAGACAGGAGGAGAGGCAGGCTTTGTTGAAATAGCTGGCTTCCTCACGTACAACCTGGTGAGGCGGATCAACCTGGAACCAAGACCCATTGCTCCTAGAAATCAGGGATTAAGACGCTTTCCGGTTTGGGTTCTTCTCCTAGGATAGGCCTGGAAGTGAGTGCTCAGATTGCAAAGCCAGAAAGTGAGAGTTTTCAGGCTGCTGCTGCCGTTCTCTGGTTTCAAAGGACAGAGCCTTTGGGTGACCCCAACAACCAAGCCCTGGGTCATGTTTTGCACCAGCTACCCCCAGAGCACAAAGTCCCCTCCCCGCTACCATTTCTGGGCCTTCACCTCCTTAACGTAGCCCTGAGCGTTTCTCCAGAACTTTCTGTTTGCCTGCAGCTGCACAGATACAGGTCCCACCCAAGGGTCATCTGGAGGAGGCTGGGTGAAAGGTACGAGTTGGCTGTGCTCTCCATAGCTCCTTGGGGTTTTCTCCACCCACGCATGGGTCCCCTGGGCTTCACCACTCCCATCAGGCTCTGAGGCCAGGGGAGCAGAGGCCCAGTATCCAAGTCAGCTCACATGAAGGTCAAGGTGACCCAAAAGGGCTTGTGGCCAAGATCCTTAATTTTTTTTTTTTTTAATTTTTCAGTTTTCCAAAAGTCCAAACAAATGATGACTTTAGGACATAGCGTTCTAGAGAAGACTGGGGAGGGAAACTAAGTCCTCCTTGGTTGGGGAGATGGAGAAAAAGCACAAGGAGAAAAAAGGGGGTGAGGCCTTTGGGTTTTCCGAAAGAGTATCCTCATGGTCAAAGACCCCTACACATGCCTTGCAGGTGCTGAGGGCTACAGGAGCTGTAAACAGAGGGACAGAATGAATATTCCTGGGGTACAGAGACTAAGTCAATGTCAGTGTTGAAAAATTTCCAATATGTGGGTCTGGAAAATGTTCCTAGTGCAAAACAGTTTTCCGGGAGGCTACCATTCCTTCACAGCTTATCTAAGAGGGCAGAGGCTGAAGTCACCAGGCGGGGATCTGCCTGCTGTGAGTAGCCTTGGGCTGATCACCACATGCCTGTCCTAATGATTAATTCGATTGCTTTAGTGTTTAGAGTATTGTGAAGATATAACCCTCATTAGAACATCGAATTGTATTGGTTTGGGGATAATACTCTCATGCAAATAACATGAAAACAAGCTTTTGAAAGTGATCGTTCAGGAGCTCTGGGTAACTGTTCTGAGTCTCTCTTCTCACTCTCTCTACAATTTGCTCCTGAAGGGATTTTGGTCCATGAAAATGTAAGGGAGGAGATAAGCAGGATGATAAAATAGCAAACTTCTAAGGAGTCCAAGGAAAGAAGAAATTTTGTCTACAAAGTTGTGTCAGCTATCACTGTTGGATTTTTAGAGATTTTATCCAACATTCTCTGCCCTTTGATGTCCCAGGGGGCTGGCCTTTATGCTCTGTGTCACCTGGGGTCTCTTGTCTGCTGGCTTCTAACTGAGTTTGGCCAATGAGCGCAGCAGCAGGAGATTAGAGAAATGTCTAAATGTTTCTTTCCTGTGTCTGAGCCTGACAACAGCTGTGATCCTCCTAGTATAGATTTTACCAGGAGGTCCATTCACAACCATCCCTCCCCAAACACAGCTTTGGCTGTCAATGGGCTCCTGGAGTGCTATTTTGCCCCTTTGCCTTCTCATTCCTAAGGGTCTGAAGACCTCGTTGCCAGGCTCTAGGTGTCTCTTCTCTGTAAATAATCCTTTTGATAACGTCTTCATTTGGACCATCTGCAGGCATCTGTAGTTCCCTAGTCATAACAAGTTTCCTGAGGGAAGTAAATGTTGCACACTCAGCATCACTGTATTCTGGTATGTTCCTGACTGTTGACTTTGCCCTGTGGGAGAGGTCATCTGTGCAAATTGGCAATCCATAAGAAGTGAGCTGTTCACAAGAGTATTTGAAGACTCATGATGCACAGTAACAGCAGGAAGTGGCAAGGCAGCAAGCTTGGAAGAGGCAGAAGGGAATGATTGGGACCAGAGGCTGAGAAATGATACAGATCATCCAGAGAGCAATTGTAATAGCTGCTCAGATTGCGGGTGTGTGGTCCACCAAGCAATCTCCAGCTGATGCTCCCTTCTGCATCTGCCTCAGCAGTAAGAAATGCCATTTCTTGGTGGGGTATAATGGCCTGGCCATTTTGGCCCCATGTTAGATACCCTAACCGGGTACACTGCCTGATGGTGTGTTCAGCTCCTTTCTCCGTACAACCCTGCAGCCTCCCTCTTTAAGGACTGACCTCCAATAAACATCTTGCATTCAAACTCCATCTCGATCTCTGCTCCCTGAGAACCCAATCTATGAGGCTAAGTTTAGCAAGAGCCGTGAAAGCACATTACAATTATTAAACATTATTTTTTGGATTTATTTTATGGATTTCCTGTGTTGCAAGGATCATTCATATTTTATACAGAAGCAGAGGAATTCCCGGGGGCATGAGAGCAGGGTGAGAGCCATGGCTGATGAGTTCTTTTAGAGCTTCTGAAGGAGGGATTCTGGATCAGAAACGTGTGCAGACTTCTAAGAAGTTAGAGCTTTGTTCAGTGACACTACAGATGTTTGAGTTTGGTTAGGGACTAATCTGAGACTAATCTGAGTTTGGTAGAGAAGCAGAGACAAACAGATGTCATATTTAGGAGGTAAAATGGACGATGAGGGTATGAAGCATTTTCCCTATCACTATTTGACAAAAAGGGAAATTGACAGTGGGAAACACAAGCTCTTTGTTGAAATACCTGTGTGCCTGATGATAAGGAGAGATGTTTATCACATGAACTTGAAAACAGCTCTGAATCAGTCTGTGCATTCTTAGAGTTATGGAAGAGTGAGGACTTGAAAATTTTTACCCCAACAGTTGAAATGACTTGTTGGGAACACCCCTTGCCACCCCTTAATAGTCTGTTCATCCCAATACCCACACATTTGCATGAGGCTCAGACTCTTTCCTCTGCTGCTGGTCCTGTACCTCACACGCCCCACTGCTGGAAACTTCATGTCTAACCTCATGCCCCCTCATTCCTTCCTGCTTATACCCTTTCCTGGTTACTTCCCCAGAAACCATGTGGGTGGCTGGTTCTTGAGTTTAAATATGAGTCTCAATTCCACCCTGGAGTTACCTCTGAGGCAACAGGAAACACTTAAGAAAAATCTGAGTGGGTGAATGTGGAGAGGTGGTGTCATATCCTTGACCAGAGACATCATAAATCAAGTCAAGGACAAGGTAAAGTTAGGGCTTACCTCTGTCAAATGACCAATGAGGCTTACTCAGGTTGGGACAATTCCTACTTCCAGGTTTATGACATATGATGACAGTCATGCTACCAGCTGATATCCCAGTCTTCAGTCTTTCCCACCTCAAGCCCCACCTCAAGCCCATCATAGCTACAAAATAACCTAAAGAAACCCAAACCCTCATCACTTCCACCTTACAATAGCCATGTTGGTGTCCAGGTGTTCCCATCCCTTATCCTGCCCATATGATCAATAAATTAAGAGATCATCCAAGTAGTCTCCATCTCCGGGCCAAGTCTTTAGCTCAACTCTATAAATCTATAAGCTCTGACAAAAACAGCTTACATCCTTTGGTTTATGCTTTTTATCTTCCATGTTGGGGAGGGAGACAGCACATTGGGATGAAGACAAATATGGTCATGGTGTGTGGCCAGAGTAGGACCACCATGAGAGAGAATTGGAAGACAAATTACTTTTGATTTTTTCCAAGTCACATTTAATGGTTTCATACTGGCCAATTCTTCCCCAAACCCACCTAGCTCAGGAACCCAAATCTTTCCAACCAAAAGATCAAAGGAAACATTTCTGCTTTCAAAATTTTATTAAGATGTTGGGGAGAAACAGCCAACATATACATTCCTCATTTTGTCACAACTGGCATTTGATCCACATTCCATAGGCTGCCCTCTGGCTTTGATCTAACGTCAGGTCTCCTGGCAGTCCCCCTTCTGCTGTTCTTGTTGCTGCCTGGTGCTGTGTGAAGTGCACCAGGGCAGAGCCCGCTGGGGGCTCATAGGTGGGAACGGTAATTGCGATTGGCTGTGGGGAAGGACAGGTTTGCAACAGGGACACAAATTAGAACATTCCCATCAATACTCTTAATGCCCACATCTGCATTTAGTTATTGGAAATAATCTCGGGTGGATATTTCAGGGTCCTGTGAGGGCTGCCTCCAAGAGGGAGGGCCTGGCAGCAATGTGTGCCTAAGTCTGACAGTCTCCCCCACCTTCCCTCACTCACCATCATCGCCCCGTTTCCTACTTTTCAGGCTGCCCCTCCGGTATTTTCTTTTGCTGCCACCTCTCTTGACTCCCTTGTGAGGAGATCGGCTCTTGCTCCTCCTCATGCCATGACTCTTTAATTTGCGGCTGGTCGACATGGTAAGTTCTGCCAAAATGAGGGGCTTTGCAAGGCCCGTGGGCCAGAAGTCTGGGTATTTAAGGCCTTGGCCATTGTGACAGGGAAGGGGTGTGGCTCAGCAGGTGGGAGGGGCTCTATTGTGCTGTCACTCACCTTTGCTGCCCTTTGGTCATATATGTGAAATAAAGCTCAAGAGCTGCCCTCCGTTTTGAGGTCCTTTATGTGTTAAGTGAGGCTTTCCAGAGAGGTGTTATTGAGCAACTGAATCCCAGCCCCATGCCAGGCATTGGAGGAATACAAGAGACCATTCAAATATGCTTCCCCTGGCTCTAGGAAATGTAACAGTCATTGAGTGTGTGTATATGCATGACTATTTAAGTTTCTCACAGCATCTGGAGATGACACATGTATTTCTGTAAGGACTTGACTCTAGAGAACCCAGTTCAACATGATCAAATAGAAATATTCTTTCTTTCTCATCTAATGATTTCTCAGTCTTGGCACTGTTGACACAATGGGCAGGGTAACTTTTGGTGGGCTGTCTTGGGCATCCTAGGAAGTTTGGCAACATCGCTGGCCTCTACCCACTGGACACCAATGAAGCCTGGCAGCTATGACAACTCAAAATATTTCCAAACATTGCCACCTGTTTCTTTGGGAGGCTGGGGAAGTGAGGGGCAAAATGACTCTTCTTGAGAACAATTAACCTAATTTTTAAAAATTCAGTCACAGATGTTGATTACATAGCATGTGCCTTACATTTAGGTGGTAGAAAATTAGTGGAAGATAAAAACATGTAGATGCTGTGCTCATGGAACTCCCAGCCCACTGGGGAGAAAGCCATTCATCAGGTGTATACATAAATCAGTGAATAAGTACTTGGAAAGTCATTTTGGCTGGAGAAGGGCAGAGAGAAACTCCTTACATGGTACAGGATGAGGCTGGAGAGGGAGGAAGAGATCAAACCATGGTCAAGTATTTGGGAAGCCTTTAAAAATGTTAAGAGGATGGCATGTGAGATTAGATGGTGCCAAGTGGGTGATGTATTGACTGGAAGAGCAGTGTAAAGGGAGATGCCCCTGTCAACATTGAGGGTTCAGTAGAGAGAAAGATTTGATGATGGCTCAGACCTGTCCAAGAAGGGTGTTGATTAAGCTATTAAGTGGACAAGAGACGGAGGCTTGGTGTTGGATTGGATTTGGGAGGTGAAAGCAGGTGTTGTCAAGGGTGTGGCTTTTGTTTCTGTATAATGCAGTTACCTGGATGCTGGTCCATTCACAGGGATAAAGGTCAGGCTTGGGGAGGGTGATGATGATGCACTTGGTATAAGACATACTGGGCTCAAAGTGCCTTTGACACTTACAAATAGATATATTGAATGGTTATTGGGTGTATAAGTCATCCAGCCTTTTATTTATTCTCCATTATACCTCATTATACCTTGTAGTAAATGGTTTTGAACAGATTTCTTTCTTTTTTTTTTTTTTTTTTTGTTTTTTGTTTTTGAGACCGAATTGCCCAGGCTGGAGTGTAGTGGCTCAATCTCGGCTCACTGCAATATCCGCCTCCTGGGTTCCAGCAATTCTCTTGCCTCAGCCTCCCGAGTAGCTGGAATTACAGGTGTGTGACACCACGCCCGGCTAATTTTTGTATTTTTAGTAGAGAGAGAGTTTCACCATGTTGGCCAGGCTGGTCTTGAACTCCTGACCTCAGGTGATCTGCCCACCTTGGCCTCCCAAAGTGTTGGGATTACAGGTGTGAGCCACCGTGCCCAGTCCCAAATGGATTTCTATGGAACGTTTGCTATTTCTTCCATTTGTCCCTCCTTCCCTCTCCACTGCCATCATTCTCCTTCAAGAACTGAGCATCTTGCGTGCAGGAGGTCCTCAGCAAAAGTTGTTTGAATAGAAGAGAGGATGTAGTTCAAGCCCCACTCCCTGTTTCTCTGATATCTATAGATGGCAAATTGTATTTTGAAACCCAGATTCTTTGAATAGTCACCATATGTGACACTTTCCATTTTCCTGCTTCCAGGAAGGTCTCTCTGGAGACTTTCTGTTGGTGACTTTGGCCACTTTTATTCACACGACGAAGCAGTTCTACAGAACAGACTGCTGGCTTGCTTGTTGGCACTCCAGACCTTCTCTGTCCACTCTAGGCCAGTTGTTCCTCCTAGAAACACACCCCATGAAAGCAGGGACCCCTGTGAAGGCAGGAATTGAGAAACGGGGCTTACCACTGACTATTCCCTGGGAGTTAAACAGTCCTGCCACAGAATAGAAGCTCAGTAAGTGTTTGTGAAATACATTCGGTCAATGAATAAGAAGCCCTTCTTTTATTTTTCTAACTATCCTGTTCCTTCCCATTTTGCCCTCCATCACGAAGGGAGATTTTCCAACTTATCAAAGTTTCACTGTCCTTTGAAACTTCTTCAAAGTTTACTCTTCATATAACATTGACTTTACAGTCTAGACAACCAACCCTAATTGTGCAAAATCCTGTTTTTTGCCTACATTGCCATGCCACGTGTGTGAGACTGGGCTCAGCAGGAGGTGGTATGTCTTGGTTCTGGTCCTGATTGGACTTCTCCGGACGTTAGCTCCCTTATTCTATAAATAAGCAGGTTGGGCTAGGTGATCTCTGAGATGACCTGGCTTTGGTGGTAGCCTCCTTGTCATTAGGGACTGTATCTTTTCTTTTTACTGCGTTTTTCCACAAGTACTAGCATGGCCCACACTAGTGGTCAGTAAATATTCAGTCTAGCTGCTTTGGTATATTATGAGGACTGACAGTTCAACACAATCATGGTGACTTTGCACAAGCAGGGGCATTTCTAGGCAGGTAAGAGAGAAAACATTGTCCTCACAACAGGTCCTCTGGTGCTCTGTGCTGACCTCTCATGCCTTACACCATTGGCTAACATGTTTACAGAGGAACCAGCCTCTTTGGTTTGAAAGGCATTTTTTCTGGATGGTCCTGAAGGCTGGATACTATTTCTCTCCCCAATCCTTCCTACCCCCAAAAGACCTGCTCTGCCAAGGAGAAGCTGAGATCACAGGGAAGAAGGCAGCCAGACTTGGGGATTGATGAAGAAACAAACAAAAAATCCCCTTTGCCTGGAGTTGAGGAGCAGTTCTGGTTCCAGACACCCATGTTGAGAAACTTGAGCAGTAGAAAACCCCATGGGGGACAGGGAAGGCGACTCACAGGCCACTCAAGGCTGGGGTGTGGGGGGTGTTTGGGTTGGCTCCTGTGTCAGACCTCCTGGAGTGAGGACGGAGCAGGGCTGAGCACTGCCTGTCTCTGTTTCTCTTTCCATTTCTGCCCCAGTGTTGCTTAAGCCAGCAGCAATTTAGATAGAGCCCAGTGAGCTACTTCTAACCCTTAGCAGGCCCAGAATGAGGTCCTTCCTTGAGAACCACCTGTTAATTCAGTCTGCTGACTGTCTCACCATTGTTTTTTTCTGCTATCTTTGCATAGAGAGGACATATGAGTGACTTCAAATAACCTAGCATAGGACTAACAGGGACAGCCCCATAAACCTGTTTCCTTTATACCTTAGCTTTGCTGGTGGGACTCAACTTTTTCTCCCTTGAAGAAAGGAAATGAATATGTTGATCATTGTTGGCACAGAAAGAGAGAGAACTAAATTCCTGGCCTTTTGAGAAGAGATGCTACCAGCCTCTTCTTCCTTGGGGCTGAGTGAGATCTTGCCTGGAGACAGGTGGATGGAAAGGATGGTGTCTGTATTTCCTAGAAGAGTAGCCAGGATTGCAGTGCAGGAAAGGGCTTGGAGGCCAGTGGTCTCTCTCCTGGTCCTTTCCTAGGCTAGGAAGTGTAGGCTTAGGGTGTCACTGCTTTGGAAGTCAGATCTCTAGTTAGAGTCCATCTCACCTCTCCAATTCAAGCTCACTCCATTAATTTTTCCTGGGAGTCCAGTGGATGCCATCATAGGGCTGGATTTTCCCAGCAGCCTGAAACTTGGGGCCTATTAAGAGGGAATATGGAAAAGTTTCTGATGGTCCTTACACATGCCGATGACTCAGTCTGAATCCTCTGAAATCTAAGTCTCTCCAGATGTTGACCTCGGCTGGGAGGTGGGGACCTTTTACCCTGTTCACATGCACACCCTGTCATCTCTACTGTTGCTGCTGTTGCTCTTCAAATAGGCCAAAGGGCTTGGGGACAGGCTGGAGGAGGGGAAAGTGGCTGAGAGACTTGCCGACGTACCTCACCAAGGGGCAGAGCTCTCTGAACTCAGAACACATTCACTGTCTTTAGCAGGGAATTAAAAAGAGGCCAGAGATCAAGGCCAAGGGGTAGTTTGCAGAGCGAAAGGGAGGAAGGATCTTAAGTCCATTCACCTTTTTTCATCCAGTTGTGGAGGTACAGGGGGCATCTTGGTTCTGAGGATGGTCTGGAGTCTGCCTAGAGATGTGGTGGCGTTGTTTTCCATTTTTCCATCAGGCTTCTCTCCTATTCTTTCTGCTGCATTCTCATAACAATTTCTGTTTTTTCAGGAGGAGAGAGATTGGGTGCTGAAAGTGGGAGATTTATCACAAGAGCAGGGGTCACAGGAGGCTCTTAGGGGCCACCTTGTCCTGCTCCTTTGGAGCCAAGAGGCTTATCTCAGGGGCTGCACCTGGGCAGTGGAAGAGCCAGGACAGAGACAAGATTGCTGAACCCAGGTCAAGGACTGCCCGCCGCACCTTGGTGCCTTCCCTACTTGACTTAAAAACAAACCTGTCAGCCTGGCGTGGTGGCTCACGCCTGTAATCCCAGCATATTGGGAGGCCGAGGCGGGTGGATCAACTGAGGCCAGGAGTTTGAGACTAGCCTGGCCAACACAGTGAAACCCGGTCTCTACTAAAAATAGAAAATATTAGCTGGGCGTGGTGGTAGGCACCTGGAATCCCAGCTACTCGGGAGGCTGACACAGGAGAATCCCTTGAATCCTGGAGGTGGAGGTTGCAGTGAGCTGAGATCGTGCCAGTGCACTCCAGCCTGTGCTACAGAGTGAGACTCCACCTCAGAAAAAAACTCCCCAGAAACGAACCTGTCCTTCAGTGTCCACTCTATTTGCCTTTTCTCTCATGTATGCCCTGCTGTGATCACAGTGAAGGAACCTAATTTTAGAAAAAAGTAGTTTGGAAAAAAGTAGTTCTTCTTAGAGCAGGGCATGAATCTGGAGGAACTCTGGACAACTTTCAAGTTCTCATTTTGAGAGCATTCAAATTTTCATTTGCTTTTAGTTACTTTTGGACTTTTGAAAATTGATGACTTCTGTTCCTTTTGTCTTTCCAAGTCCCACTAAGAAAAAAGCTACATGGTATAATGGTACATAAAGAAAATCCAAATTGTATGCTTCAGAGCTTTCTAAATAAAGTTCTAAATAAAGTTTTCACATTGACCACTAGCTACTAACCTGCCTCTATTAACCTTAATCCCCACGGTAGCAAAAGATGTCCTTTTCCAGAATACACTGGAAATATAATTCCCTTTAGCTGTTAAGATAAAAGCTGGGCTGTAGCCTAGGGTGTTAGAAAAGGGTGTTATGGTACAAAAATATCACACATATTAAAATCATTTGGCCGCATGCGGTCAAAAATAAAGTGTTTTAATCCATCTGCTGCCTGGAGTAAGGAACTTTGAGTTGGAGCATTGCTAGAGAACAATTTTATAATAAGTA